CGGGGTGCCAAAATGTGTTGAAACTTGTTTTGAATTGTTTTGTTGGACAAGCGTTGCCCCAAATTTGGGCTTTGTGGTATACACCCTGGACAACAGTCAGTTAAGTTAACTGACCACACGAAAAAAATCCCTGCCAGGAGGCCTTCGTCAGGCGTGTCCGCCGCATCTATCAGGAAATTGATGAGCAAAACCTCGAAACAGAATTCGAGTTCATGACGGAACAGGACATGGTTGATGCGGGATTTCCACCGATGCTCTACTTGTTTGGTTGTATGCCGGGGTAAACCTTGGTCGGACTGTTCAGGGTTAGGCTTCCTCCATTATCTCTACTCTACTATCCCTGTTGCTGTGCAACGCCAAGGAAGAAGCGGGCCAACATCAAGAAGCATTGTGAAGACCATCCATCTTACATCAGGACTGTGACTGTGGTGGGCTTCAGGGAATGAGAACAATCGAGCTCCATGTTGGACACATTTCTTTTGACAGAGGTGTAAGAACTGAACACTTCCCTTCTGCCAACCGTTCAAAAAATCTTGGCATACCTCTCCCCTACTTGTACTCCTCCATCCCACTTGCCCACACAGACTCGCTCAGATTTATATTATAGACTAAGGGAGGTCCCCTTCTGACATCTCGAGACCAGGAAGTCCACGTATGGTGAGGGCTTGATGTACTGGGTGGAGCGAAAGACGAAAGGCAGCACAAAGCGCCATAGCTGCATCACACTGCGACCTTCAACTTTGTTTTCCTGGAATGCTGAATACTGCTTTACAAAGAGGTTTGCTTCGCACTCACAAGTACACCATCCGATTGCTCAACACAAGCCGTGCCCAGCAACAGTATCGCTTGTGGCCCCATGCCGTGCGCTTGGCTGAGGCGCACCCGTCGCAGCATCCTGGAGCAGTGTGCGGATGAGGAGCTTGAGGAGGAACCGAAACAGCTCTCGATGGACCAGCCGTTCCCATTTGACTCTATGGGCCCGGGTGGACCCTCTGGATAGAAAGAAAAACATTTTGGGGTTGTGGCCCCATTCCTTTCTGGAAACAGTAAGCTTTTAGGCAGTTGGACTGCTTGTTAAAAACTCTCTACTCACTAGGCGATCGGAAAGACCTTTCTTCCGATGATGAGTTTGGCGAAGATGCAGGGGACGATGAGCAGGGGAATGTTATCAAGGCGATCAAATTTCCAGAGATCGAGGGCCCGACCAAGTACCCGTCAGCAGCTCCCAAGGTTTCCAAGTGTCTCCAGAAGCGAGTGAGACACTTGCAAGATATTGTTGCTAAATTTGATGCAGCTCCTAAACTTGATGCTGCACAAACTTCGCTTCTTACACAAACATTATGAACGTTTTTGCTGCTAGGTCTGTAACTAGTGTTAGCCCTTCTGGGTACTGGCAAAACCTTTCTGGTACTAGGGCCGCTTCTGGAAACCTTAGGCTGAGGGGCAAAATCGTTGAGCTTGCGACCAAACTCACGCAGCAAGATGACTCGATCATGCAAACCTACCAGCTTGGGATAGCTGACGGCTTTGGGAAGGAGCCGCCCGTCCACTACTCTTCATGTGGTTGTGGGGATGTTATGGCAGCTTGAGATATAATACCAATAAGTTTTTGTAATGCTTTGCGTGGGTCTTTGGGGCCTCCGAGGAAAATGAAGTCGTTCAAGCAGGCTTTTGAGAGTGCCAAGAAATTGTCAAAGCCTGAGAATTTTAAAAAGCGTCCATCATCACTTGTCTATCTGTTCGTTAGCCCAGGGCAGTGGAAGCGATCTGCATGGAGAAAAGGGCCCGGTGGGGGACCCAACCACATGTACAAGTAACTTCTTTGAGGATGAATTTGTCTAACTACAGAAAGCTAATCAGTAAGCAGAAAATCAGAACACACTATTTACCCCGCTGAGGCAATGCACCCCTACTTCAAGGACTAGTGAACAGAAGGCGAAGGGTAGTGCTAAGCGCCGAGCTGTCCCTAAACGGACCGCTGAGAACCCCACAACGCCGGCGGCCAAGAAGAAGGCCAAACGCTAGATCGCGCTTCGCCTTAGGTGGTTTGCTTGTTTTGGGCACTCTGTGTGTGGCAGAGCGTTGGGGCTCTGTGTCCACACGGGGTGCAAAGCTTTGAGTTAGAGATTTGGGCCAGCGGCCTTGAGTGGACACGAGCCTACTTCGGATCCTCGGATCAACAAAAAAGAGCTGGACCCCAGTGAGCCATACACATGTCGACAAGCCGTTTCCCACAGTTTGTGAAGTTGAAGTGTTTTCTATCAACGTTCTTTGCCCCAGCCAGGTCACAAGCTTGGTGGCAAGCTTGAGGAGCACATGGCGGAGTGTTTAGGCGAGGGCGCTGGAAGCTCAGCCACCACACCTTGGCCTATTGGATATTGGATGGCAAGATATCGTAAGACTGGAATGTCTTTTTCATTCATAAGAACAGCAAACCTTAGATTTAAGTTACTTGCCTTTCACTCATAGGAAATCCTGATTTTTTGTCGGGTTTGAACATTGAATGCTGCAACTGTGCGGTTGGCGACTGCTCAATTGAACACCCACATCTATCCAAACTTTCAGCTTTCCTCTTCACAACTTGCTAGCCATGCCCGCGTGGTGAGGCAACAGCCACCAATGTGAAGCGCACGCTACACTTGGGTGAGAGGGAAGCACCCAATGCTGAGCGGGATTGTCATCGGAAGTTTGCCCGACTAGGATTTTCTTTACCGATTGCAATTCAATCAGTTACCCACCAATGTGGAAAAGATGTCTTGACTACAAACTGGGTGAAGGTATCCGATTGGTTGAAATATCTTCTTCGCAAGGCTCCATCTGTGCTAGCTGGGTCCCACTTTAGCGTCCGACAGCAGTGCGTCTCGTTCTGGCAATTGTACAGGCAAGTGCACGCAGGGCATGTAGTGTTTGAGAGCGGAAAGGATCTCAATTTCTGCCTGCCTCTCATTTTGTACGGAGATGAGGGAAGGGGACCAAAGAGAGCAAACTTTATGGACTTCACTTTTGAGACGCCGTTTGGTCTTTTTCGACATCAAGATCCGCACTGCGTTTGCCGTGAGGATGTATCCTGTTGGCCTGCAGAGTTTGTTTGTTGTAGCAGTGGTCCTGTTCGTGATTCTGTCGGTGTGGCTGAGCAATGTGCTACCAACCAGAAAGGGCACAGTTACCTTACCAAGCATTTGGTGTTTGGGTTGCCGAGTTTCCTTTACAAAGCTCACCCTCAGATTCTGCAAGAACATCTTCGCTTGGTCTCTGCAGACATGCGCGCGCTGTACGAGCATGGGATTGAAATCGGGGACTCCAAAGAGAAATGGTGGGGTATCTTGATTGGAGTTAAAGGTGATATGAAGTTTCATGCCGAAGTGGCCGGTGGCTTCAATCGGAGCTACGCAACTCTGTCCCAAAAGGGCGATGGTAAGATGTGCAGCCTGTGCTTGGCAGGGGACCCCCGCTATGAATTTGAAGAAGTGGACCATGTGCCTTCTTGGGCACCTAGCATGTTTGAGGCCAGGCCATGGCCAGAGAATGATGGGCCAGCACTATCTATGATCAACTATGACCCAGAACGTCCAGAATGGGCTTTCAAACTGGATGCCTTTCATGTGTTTAAAGTTGGTTTGACAAGGCACATCGTTGGCAGTTTGGTGATGATTTTGTGCCGCTTGGGCTTCTTTGACAGTGCAGACCCTGCAGAATCCCGAGACATCAATGAGCGCTTGAACCGTGCGCACGGTGGGTTCAAGCTTTGGTGTGCGGGGGCTCGAAAGAGCCCAGGGCTCAGATCGTTCACACGATCTTTTTTCAATTGTAAGACCTTCAGGAGTTCAGCATGGGCAAATTCCAAGGGAAGTGACAGTACTTTGCTAGTCTCATGGTTGTTGTTCTACATCCCTTTGATTGCGGCTACGCACGAGAAAGCTTGTAACCACCTCCGGTTTTTCAACGTTGCCAAAACTGTTTTGGAGAACCTCCAGGCCATGCACAAGATTTGTGATTCGCATGGTTTGTGGATGCCACGAGTTTGCGGACAAAATCTGTATGCACGCTTGATGCTGGTGTGCAAGGGGTACAACCTCCTTGCAAAGCACGGGATTTTGCTGGGCATGGTTGCTTACCTTTGCCTTAATAACTTTTGGTTATTTGTTCGGCTGTTTGTTTGGGGTTTCCACGGTTGGGTGTTCATTATCTTGTGGCTCCACGCAAAAACTCAAAAAAGGTATCGTTCTCAATGATCCCAAAGTACCATGCAGCTAAGCATTTGGCCTTTGAGCTGCGGACGCAGTTGCTGAGTGGGGCGGCCAGGGTTATGAATCCAGGTGTGTACAACACAGAAAGCAATGAGGACCACGTTGGTAAAGTAAGTTCCCTGGGCCGTCGTGTGTCCACGCGAACTATTTCAAAAAGAGTTATCCAGCGTTACTATCTCAAAACCAGAGCCCTCATTTCAAGGCACGTGAAAACCCATGGTGCCGGCTCCAGATAGATCAAGGCACACTGTGACTGTTGCAACTTGGAAGGAAAACGATTGGTGACAGGTGCGGAGGAGTGCGCTTGGGGTTGTTGTGATATGTTGTGATCACATTCCGAACCTTTTGATTATGGGTGCAGTTTATTGACACTAAGAGGTTTTTATTTGGCGCGGAAATTCCTTTGTGGCCGCGGATTTTTCTTCTTGGCCGCGGATATTTTTTCTTGGCGCGAATATTCTCTAGTGGCGCGGAAATACCCGGGCAAATGAGGATGCGACAGAAATTTCTGCCCCAGGAGCTTATAGGTATAGGAAAAAGAACCTATCTATCGCAATCTATCTATATCTATATATATATATATATGTGTGTGTGTTGTTGTTTTCCCATGCATCTCTCTCTCTATAACTATACATATACACGCCATACACACACCAATTGTTCCCCAATGTTCACCCTCCTTCAACGCTTTCGCCCCGCCGGCGACCCGAATCACCGGGCGAAGCGACGCGACGCAGCGACGCCGCACGGGAGGCCGCGTCGATCGCCAAGCGGTTGGCGCCCAGAGTGGAGGCGAGCGCGACATGGGAACGCGTTTCGCAGAAGGACCCCTTGAAACGTTTGTTTTGATGTATATAGTTTTATGTATTTTTGAGGGGAGGTGCGGTATTTTTGCTGGGGCAATGTACCGCATTTTGAGGATCAATCATTTGGCACTTCAGTTGCGGGCTCAGTGGCCAAATCATTTGGTTCATGCCATGCTCCTCTTTAGGACGGAGCCTTTGCGGCATATTCCCAAATTGGAGGACAGCGAAATGAGTCCACCGCCTGACATACTTAACAACCTCTCCATAGATACAGCCATTCGATGTATCTCAGGTGGTGCTCGATCTTTAAAGGCGTGGAGCTTTGTGTTCCAGCCACATGAGGCTCAAACCAGGCAGTGGCAATGATCTATTATCCCCAGGCAAATTGCCTAAGTGATCCGCATGCATTCTGCGCCTCATCTCAAGCGCCATACGATGAACCACTCAAAGCTAGTCATCGATCAAGCGTTTCGCCGAAGACCTAAAAACCTGTATCCTCGTGCCCCAAAACCGACCAAGAGACGTGAAGCAGTTTTTGTGGGTTGCAGACAGGGCCAGAAGAACCCATTCCTGCAAGCAGCTTTGAGAACCTGAGACTGCGCCCAAACAAGAGGCTTTTCGTGTGTAGTTTGTTTTTGCCATCATACACCTAAACATTACAGTCAACCCGACATCCAGACAGATCTAACACAACAACAAATATGGGTTACACATAGCTAAACACATCCTTAGCAGAACGACGGCGTCCTAATGGTGCTGCGGCTCAACAAGCACCTCCTCTGGGAAGTGGGTCTTGAAGCGAGTTGTCTTCAAGGACTTTGGCCTCTATGCCGCCAGGTGTGGCATCTCCTGTCACACACAGAGGAAGCCTGTTTGGGGGTCTATCATGTGGGTGGGGGTATAGGGCCCGCAAAGGGTGCCTGGTAGACCCGGGGAGCGGGTGGGTCAAGATGTTTGTTGCATCCCCAACAAAAAGATGTCAAAAGAACAAGAGCCTGGTTCTTCAAAGTGACCGTACTTGATAACCTGGTTGGTTCGGTCACTTAAGCCTCCTAAGGGTCACTTAGGAACCTTCAAAAGGTCACTTTGAAGAAGCTGGAGTAAGATTAATGTGGAACCCGGGGAACCTCGGGACCGTAGTTCTTCACCCGAAATATGGAGTGGTGGAAAGCTTTATCGTTCATAGCTGATTTGCACATCGTGGACATGATGCGAACGCTGGGGAACTTAGGATCTGTGAATGTGGCGAAATCAAACCTGGGGAACCAGAATCTCTGCAGAGGTTTAATTAGTCTAATTTTGAGCGTATGTTCTTTTGAAGGCGGTGTCACCGGTCATGCGGGGTTCTGGGTCACTTCAGAGTCATGCTAGAAAAGAATTGGTGACCCGCATCCTCTGTGGGATGGCGTCAGGTTCATGGTGCATTATTGAACTTTGTGGAGAACCTCACTGAGATCTCTCTCCAGGATCTTGCATCATGAACAGTTTTGGTTTTATGACTTTTTTTATATTTCAGTGAAGCTTTCGACTTTGGACTAGCTGTTCTGATGGGCCATCATCACATGACCCAACCGCGACTTGGCCATATATATGTCCGGGTTTTCGGATGCAGCGGTCGCTGCTTGGACCCATTTCGGCGTTCAGAGGTGCACAGAGGTGCATGAAGTGTACCACTTTCATTGATGTTTCGTGAGTTGTTCAGATGCTCAGATGCTGGTCGACTGAGGTTCAAGGACCGTGAACCGATGATCGGGTGTGTCATGCTTGCTTCGCGGTTCGCGGCGACGTGATTGGACCAGAATAGAGCATTCCACCGGGGAGTGGTTATCAGATATCATGTGGTATCCAGTTGCATCTCTGCATGAGCTGTGAGCTCAGGTGATCCGTTGTGGAGTTGTCCAACGGCATATCGTAGTAAGCCGTACATGAACGCATGAAGAAGTATGGAATCCACATCCTTTCTGAGAGAGTCTTATAGCTTTGCCCTTTATAGGTGGTCCTCCTTGACCACACGCCTTCTATTTTTGGCTTTGGATCCTACACCGACATTTCTTCCTTCCAAGCGATTTGGCACTCCACTCCAGGAGGCTCACTGCAACTTCTACCTCTCCGAGCTCCTGGCGTGCCGCACGCGCGGCCTCGCCCGCCTGCAGATCGGCGCGCGCTCCTGGGATTTGGCCTCCTTGGAAGACGGCCGCTCGGCGCGGAAAGATCGGAGCGGTGACCGGACCCTGACACGCCGTCGGGGGGCCGTCCCACAGGAATTGGTGTTTTGCAGAGTCCGATAGTGTTAGGAACGGGTCTCATGTTTTACTCCTTTGTTTAGTTGTGGAGTTGTCCAACAAATCTATGTTCCTATATTTGTTTTACTGGGGACTTGGATCCGCTCCCGCCCGTTCTCATGTAGCGTTCTCTAGATGACCTGTCACGGTCGCACTTGTTGTTCCCCTCTTTTGGGCACATGACAGCTTTGCTGATTCTTCGCACTTGGTGCTGATTCTTCGCACTTGTTGGAACAGAAAGAAGTGTAGCCCACAGGTGGGTGCTTCTCCATGTCTCTGTCCTTCTTCAGCCATTCAAATCTGAAACTCGAAACTGGACTCAGATGTTTCAATCTGGGAACCCTCCACATCAGGGTAATTAGTTCTTCTTCGTGACCTTTGGCATCTCAAGCCCTTCAAAAGTGACAGGCTATAGATGCAAAAAGTAGATCATCTACCGTCACCTCCTCTACAGGCCGTGTAATTAGTATATTTGGATCTATCCGGTGCCAAGCAGCCATCAATATGTTTACCTTGCTGCAGTGTGTTTCTGAATAGTGCAGAAACCAATTTGTAGAGCTACCATTCCCGCCTCCATTCGTTCCAGATTCAGATCGGGTGGATCCAACAGATCCCGTCAGATCCCACGCCATGCCACACTCCCGGCTTTTTCGTCGCCATACCACGGAGAAAGACCACGAAGGTCTGGTCAAGAACACCTGCTGGTTTCCTTTCACCAAACCGACTCACAGGACTTCGCTGGTCTCGTTCGCCGGTCTCGTTCCAACCGTCAGGTCAACACTTGATCCTTCCGAGCCTCAGCGCCTCTTGGTTACGGCGAGCGACGCCCGGTTTCCCGGGCGTCGCGGGACTGTCGACCGGGAGGTTCGCAGCGGAGTAACGGTGACCGGGCGGTTCGAAGAGACCAGCGGGGTCGATCAGAGGAACCAGTATAGACCAGACAATAAGTGAATAAACAAACAAAAACATCAGTTCGCTGCATGGGAAGTGCACTCGATGCATTAGTTATTGGATGACGAGTTTTTGAGAGATTGTCTCTTTGCCGTTGCCAAGGAGCGGGAGGCTTTGATGCTGTCTCCACAGCTGACGCTCGGCCAGTTCTGGGCCCTCTGGGTGGGACGTTGCAGTCGCTGAATAAAGAACACATCAGAAGACCCCTGCGGTTGACCGATCTACCTTAGCTGCGCAACGCTCTTCCTCGTCTCGGGTTGGGCAGAATACACACCTACTAGTACAGTGGTGGATGCGTTCTTTTTTCGCCACGCAAGGCAGGAAAGAGCATATTTGCACTCCACCCAAACAACCGTGAAAACTCTACTGTACATTGAGGCCGCTTGATCTGTTGCAAAGATCTTCCAAATTCGGCATGTCGAAAAGCTTCCCCACTTCATCCGTGTTTGGGCGCGAGACTCCTCCCTGCCGGCCAGATCCTCTCCTAGGAGACGCATGAACCACTTGAAGAAGATCACGGTGGGTCTGAAAGGCCCTACGATCTGGTGCCCAGCCGGCCAACATCAGAAGGGTGTGGGGGGGGCGAAGGATCTCCGTTCAACCGGTCCATGGTGCGAAGACATGGTGCGAAGGGTCTCCATATGGTGCGCCAAGTGTGACCAGTTTTTGTGTTGCAAAGAAGAAGAAGAAGAAGAAGTCAGATAACAACTACCCCGGTTTCTACCAGTACTGCAGATATTTGATTATATGCGATTCCCTGCCAGCGAAGTGGGGCATGCCGAGCCCCCGCCCCGCTCCCCGAGGGTGCGGCCTTTGCGGCTGGCGCCGTCGCGGCGCGTGCGCTGGTCGCAGGTGGCGCACTGGCACCTGGGAGTTGTGGAGTGGACCCTGGTGGCCGGGCGCCTGGGAGATGAGCTAAGGGAGGAGGTGCTGGAGCTGGGTGAGAAGATGGGTGAATGCTTTCCTTTATGTTTGTGACTTCAAGTGAACTTTTAAGTGTTGGGACTTCAAAGTCAACTTTTCAGTGTTGGGTATTGGTGACCAGCAGGTGGAAAAGTTGAAAGGATGAATTGAAGAGAAAGGGGCGGCCGAATTGTGAGTGTGTGATTTACACTCTTCCAACAGGCCTTTGTGAAATTAAAGTTAAATAGGTTAGGTTCTGAAGAGTGTCGTTGCCATTGCAATAAGTGGATGTTTTGGTATTTTGGTGGATGGTGGAAGGGAAATGGCGCATGGGTTCTTTGCTCGGCAATACCATATTATACATATTATACAGGAAGCACTTCTAAATGGTGTTCCAGCTGGAAGTCCACATCGAGTTAACGATGAACGCCATGTTGAAGTTGCAGCTGCAGCAACCGAGGCTTCTTCGAAAAGCCGGCTCGGACTCGCTCTGGGATCGTTGGCCAGGTTGCTTGGAGGCGTGGAGCCCCCCCCCAAAGAAACTGAAGACAAAGCGGACAAAGCGGTTCATATAGCTACACTGGAGTAAAGAAGACAGTGACATGGAAGTGGAGTTTCACCCGGAACCGGCTGCTAGCAGGAAAGTGTGGTCTTCCAAGGGAGCGTTGTCCACTTCCATGTGAGTGAGTCAGAGTGTAAATGATTGGAATGATCAGTGAAATGACATGATTGGCATGGTTGACGTGGTCCCCAGCAAACTTGATGATTTGAAGTCCTGTGGTGCGCAAGGTCGATGCGGACAAAACGAAAGAACGTCGGGGGGGAAGGCAGACTTTTGAGAGATGATGCTTCTTCAGCCAAAGGCAGCTATGAGTTCACTTGTTTCAAAAAAACACTCCATCCAAAAATAACGGACGGCTGCAAAAACGCAGCCAATCATCCATCATATTCCATCATCATATACCTACCCACTGCATTGGTGCAGGTGCCCCTGGCGAGCATTGGTGCGCAGCCCTGCTTTCGTGTGGCCCAGCGACGCTGTGGGGTGAAGATCGAGAAGCAGTCTGATAGGCCACTTACGCCACGCATCGGGGACCTGCTTGTGACGCTTGTGGCGCGTGTGGGACTTCCACAAGCGACCAGTGTGCAGCGGCAAGCACAGGGGGCAAGGATGACCTGGGATTTGGGAGTTGAAGGTGTTCAGGATGACCTTCATTCCTTTGGAGAAACGGGTCAAGCCAGAGGCCGGGGATTGCGCATTGGAACCGATCTAAGGATTCAAGAGATGATCATATCGCTGAGTAGATGCTTGACTGGTCCGACCGAATAGGTTCGACTCAGTAGTGGGAAAAAACACCATGGTCGACCGTGAGCCCTGAGCCACGGAATGACAGTGACCTTCCCCCCCGGCCGCGGCCTCCCCCCCAATCAGCACACCATCAGTTGTGTGTTCTCTTTTTTCCATACCCAAAAAATCATGTATTAAACCTACAACTGCCATCAACTGCCTATAACCATCTAGAATGACATTCTATAACTCTATTAGTCCCGTTGTCCGAATGCAAGACCTGTCGTAGGTCTTGTGGTTCCAGCTCCTTCTTTCCGCTCCTCCTGGCTCTCCTCTTCCTGCCGATCCTCCTCCTGCGAATCCTCGAGGCCCAGAAGCCAGTTCTTGTGTCTTGCGCGATGACACGAAGTAAGCCACATTTCTTAGGGGGTCTTTATGACCTATATAGCTTGGAACAACAACAACAACAACAACAACAACAGATCATTATAAAAAGAATGCATCTGAATGCTTTCCACTTGTGAAATGAGAAGCTGATCAAAAAACATTCTCAGGCGCAAGTTCGATACACTCGGACCAACTGAGAAGGGAGGGAATCTATCCGTGTTTGGCGGGTTGGAGGGTTTTTGTATAACGTTCTGAGCAGGTCGTTAAGGCATGTTAGAGTTATATGGGGAGGCCAAGCACGGCCAAGCATATATGCCCTTCATGGCAGCCTCGCACTTTCGATCGCCACCCACGCGCACCACGGGTGTGGTTCTTTGTATCACCAAGCGCGGCCAGGACCAGTATGCTCGATCTCAGGGATTTCCTGGCGCATTGCTGGCTTCACATCCCTTGAAGGCGAGGGTGAGGGCTGGCTGGGAAGCAGTTGTTTCAAGAGTTGGAAGGGTTTGGGAGCTGCGACCTCCGGAACCAGGGTAGAACAAGACACATTGGAGCCAGATTTTTAGCGCATGATTCGTGGGAGATCCACTGAGTCAGCACGAATTTGTTGTCAGAACTTAAGACCTAACCTCTAAGAGCTTCAATCTATAGGCAGCTTGATGTGGGGTCTAAAGATGCTTTTTGAAAGACCAACTACGCAACCACCGAGCGCGTTTCGATGCTCGGTGAATCTGACGACCGTCCAGGGCGCGGGAAAGAGAAACCGACCTGGCCCTCCAAAGATCGACCGAAGAAGAATCCACATCGCCACAAGACGAATCCACGACGTCAAGTGTCAAGTGCCAATGATTGGTTTCACTTTCAGGAGTGGTTTGTTCTTTTAACCATATCTCGTAAAGAGTGCAGATCAGCTTATGTTCACTTTGTGTATTTTGTTCACATGTCAAGAACACTTGGCCTATTCAAGCCTGGCAACCGCTTGAGTTCGGCATCTTCATGTTTTTTTGTCAATCTCAATTTGCTAAACTGCTGGTACAAACACATGGGCGGTATTAGATTAGGGGAGACATCCCAACCACCGATTAGGGGCGTCAATGAGAGACTCTTCGCTTCGGGTTTCTGAATGATGCCTAGAAATCCATGCAAACGACAGCACACCGCAGACGCAGTGCCCACACCACAAGTGCTCTGCTATGCTAAGGCGATGACCTTCAGCCAACGAGCACAGATGTCTGGGCTACTTACTTGAAGAGCCTGAGGCAGCTGACTGAATTAGTGCTACGTAAGTTTTCCTTCCTGCCTCCGGCACGAAGCTCCGAATAGATCACATCCCTTGGGGAGTTGAGCAAGTGGAACTTTGAAACAGAGTTCTGGGGCAACATGTCCAAAAGACATCAAGATACTTCAACAAACGATTTTAAGTATTTATATACTTGGATATAGTCGGTACCGGGGGTGATTGTTGCATATTGCTCCCTCTCCCACTCTACCAGGTGTTTTTTGAATCTCCATGCGAAACACGCGGGATGCGGAAGATCTGAGCGGTGCCGGGCGCAGAATGGCGGAGATGTCCGGGCAGCGTCATTGAGATTCATTGACATGTGGGCTGCGGCTGAAATCACTCTGACATCTTCATGATGCTAGTCTTTGGGGTTGAATCAAACAGAGGTTTATAGAGTCTTGGCAAATCGATCGGTGGGCATCCTCGGTTTGCTTTGCTTTGGACCTCGTTGAGGATCAGATGGACCACAATCCCAGACCATTCATGTTTGGAATAGTGACCTACATTGGGGTCATACGGTCATAAAGTAAACATAACCCAGACACTCCATGTATGCTATAGATGTCATACATTAACAATGGTGTCTTTGGTCGTAATAGTAGTAGACTTATTTTCCTCCGACTCCGTATGACTCCGACGACCGTTGGACATATTGGGGTCATAAACTAAACATAATAATAAGTATACTCCCCTACGTAATGTCCATACTCCCAGACCATCTATGTAAGTAAGTAAACATACGGTCATTACATGGATGCTCTGGGTATACTCCTACCGTAGCCGGACGGCCCGGGGGGGTTGATCCGACACCAGACCATTGGAGGGGTCTCAGTGTTGCTGCTTGGAACTTGCCCCGGAGAACCCCGGCATCCTTTTCATGCGAAAAACCCGGGTTTTGCTGGATCTTAAGGTGATGTTCAAGGTTTATGTTCCCTAATCCCCATCTGATGCATATGGTTTTTCCAGGTTCCTGAAGCAAATCCAAGTTCAAGTGCCAAGTGCTCAGATCATCTCCCATGTCTGTGATTCCTGAAGAGGGCCTGTAGGTAGCCCGAGGGCTTGTACAGATTTGAGTCCGATTGGAGGTCTTCGACTCGATGACCAGTTGCAAAATATCGTATGGCGCGTTTCGGTGCGCATGGCCCATGAGCAAACTATTTGTTCATGGGATGAACATTTGTACTAATATATGTACCTGGACCTTCAAGGGATGTCCTGTTTGGAGGTCCCTTAATAGTGTAGGGGCTTCCAGCCAGGTGACCCCTTTGAAGGTGCTGGTATATTATATATCATGTAATGGCATGTACTCCAAGGCCCGACTGGCACGCTGAAGTCCGACACGATATTGTGCATTTGGGGCGGGGGGAGGATTTGGGTCTTCAAGTGTGGTGGACAAAGAAGCTAGAGTCAGTTCCTCTGTCCTTTTTAGTTCGTGGCCGGAACAAGATGCCGTGATTAGCAATTTGTTATAGGTGGCTTGAAGCTATCACACGTTTGCCCCAGAAGAAGATATAGGTTGTAAGTCGAGAATCTGAACGTGTGGGCCCAGAGAATCCTTTACCAGCTTCTTCAAAGTGACCTTTTTGGAGTCTCTAAGTGACCTTTTACAGGCCTAATTGACCTCAAGCCCAGGGATGAAAAGGTCACTTTGAAGAACCAGGTAGGTGAATCCTGAATATTGCACGACCTGTTTTGTCAGTGAAGTGTGGGCTCTGTGACTTCTGCTTTGGGGCAGCCACAGCTACGCTTCGAGCTATCCCATAGCTATCCGCAGGCGCCAAAGAACTGGGAGTTCGGCAGCCAAGAACTGGGTTGAGGCGTCCAGAGATGACTAAGTCATAAGCAGTATTTACGGAAGGACATCAGCATTGACACATGTCATGTTGTTTGGACAATTGGTCGTTGCATACGCACACAGCAGTTTACCTAGAAAGAATATCAAAGCGATAAGAGTAAACTGAGTAATGAACGGATGCACCACTATTGTCTAACATGATCACATCTGTAACTGCACTGTGAGCTGGGAAAGGTGATGCATTCATGGTTCAAGTTACCACATCTCCAGGCCGCCGTTTGAGGCATCTCCAGGTGGATTTACTCTTGAAAGTGTGCAGCAGAGAGTTGCGCTCTAAACATGATCCATGTACTTCTTTGGACGATCACGACACCGGAACTCCTCCGGTCCGGTTCAGACCGGTCCTTGGGTCGTCCATTCGGTCGAGCCCGTCCACCCCGCCGGTCTCCAGCCACCCCCTTCCACCGGTCGACCTCCAGCGGACGAGCGAAAACACTGAGGTCCACTCAGCCGCCCTCCACGAAGTTGCAACGACGAGTGGGGGGAGCTCAGCCATTCACCGCTCCGGTGAAACGCTGCAAACACCACGCTCGGCGGCTGTCCACCGGCATGGATCCGCCGTCAGACGACTGCTGCGACTGCATGTGCTCCGCTACCCGCTACGCGGGTCAACACGCTGGTCAACATGGAGCGACTCGCTCACACATTGTTCAGTCCTGAAGATCCAAGGCCTAACAACAGAAAGAACATCTTGTTGAAAGATTAACCAACAACATGTTACTGTGACACTGTGTTACTGATTGTTACTGTTCTGAACCTTTTTGAGCACAGTCTAAAAGAAAGGAACAACTGAGGCACGTCCTTCCACACACTTAACATCACTGATGCGTGTGCATTCACTTGCAGCTTCATTGCCGGTCTCAGTTCTCAGGTGGAGCAAGCCACGTTGATTGCCTGGAAGGAGCGGTTCTTGAGGGCCGTTTTTCACGAGTGAAACGACTCAGGATCCCCCAGGCGGACGCAGACATTTGGGCCATGCCATGAGGTGTTGGTATGCCATGAGCCCATGAAACCTGCTGCTGGAATAAGGATGAATAAGGGGTGTCCATGAAGCAACCCTTGTGGGTCCTGGATGTGTTGATTGATGACTCAAACGGCTGAGCCTGAGGGCCTGGGGAGTTGGAGATTCGGGTGGAGTCATAGCCCGACATATGACATCCAGCACCAGCACAGTATTTTGTTGGAGAGTTAAACTTGTGAACCCTTTTTTCCCAAGCTTATTTTGAGATAAACCCCTTCCAATGCACCACGCTTACTTAGTGGGACTATGCAGGAAGCTGTTGCATGTTACCATACTGATCGGCCTTGGTCCTGGTGTTTGCACCTGCACATCCAACCCAGACCTTTCCGACGGCTTCTTCACCAAGGGTCTCTCGCTTCCACCGTCCCTCTCGCGGAGGAACGCGCTGAGCACCACGACACGCCACGAGGCGCCCGGGCGCGGAGGAAGGGCGCGGAGGAACGGCGCGGGTCGGGGGTTGGGGCGAGGGACGGACCACAGACGCCGTGACCGTTAAAAGTGACCATCCACATGCCATGGAAGTCTCCGAAAGTCTTCGTTCATAATATATATCGGTATTTGGATCAACAGGAAAGAGTCCACCATGAAGTCATGGAGAAAAATTTCAGGTGCACCAGTGTGGCTCCGACCCAGACGTTCGCCCACTGAAATCGAACTGCGATCTTATCCCAGACACAACCCATGGGACTGCCATAGGACTGCCACCCCATTGATCCCCCAAAACCACCCCAACTGATCGGCATATGTGGCATACATGGAGTGTGTCTCCTGTAGTCTGGGGTTTCAAGTGCCCGATGCGGGTGGATTCGTGTGCCTTACGTTGGTTTCACCGCAGGTGAGCGGCTGGTGCGGGGCCTCGGGATGGACTGAATCAGGATGGAGTCCCTGAGTAGAAGGATCATACGACATCACTCCTTTTTGGGAGATCCGGACTGAGGATGTGAGACTCCAGGACGTGATCGACACATCCGAGATCCCACACTATCTCACTCCATAGGACATTTGCTGAATCAAGATTTTAGATCTCGGAGAAGTGATCTAGAGCTTCTATAGAAGATCTTGATCTTGCCTGTTCACGCAACCTTTTTTTCACGTCAGCCTGTGGGTCATTGCGGCGCCATGGTGGACAGGTGGACCACCTGAAAGAAGCAGACCAAGGATATGATAGGAGAAGCGCGGAGAAACAACGAACTTGTGGAAACGGTCTGTTGGATTCTTTTGGCGGTTCCAGGTGGCTGCAGAAGAATTGTATCCTTATGAACCGGATACAAGCTTGTGAAGGAACTTGTGGGTGTTCTTCTTTTCTCAGTTGATGATGAGTTTGCTGAAGGGCACCTTCACAGTCTCATTTTCCAAGGAGAAAAGCAGGGTTCAACCTGGTCATGTTGAAGCATGGTTGCCTCAGCAGCAGCCTAGTGACCCTTTCAATGCGGACTGAAAGGACTGACGGTTCGACGACCAGATCGTCGTTCCTCAGGTTTAATGTTCCCTTTACAAGAGGGGCCAACGAAGGCGCTTTTTTCGATTGAGCCTATACCCATGTCTCGTTGTATTCCTTGACTCTACTGACGTTCTCGAACCCTATACCTGCAGCTAAAAAGCTAGCTGCACAAGCATGGAATCGCCTCGATCACCTAGCATCTTCCAAAATTCTCACAAGAGAAAGACACCAACAAGACCAGACCTGTTCGCGCATGTCCGGAGATTTCTCCCCGGCAGTTCGCAGGGATCGACCTCGGCCGTTCGTCATCCTCTTCCCCCCATCCGTCCAGGTTGGGAGCCCATCCCCCAGGTCCAGGCCGGATGTCGCCCCAACGTCGCGAAGACGAGCACGGTCGCCGTCGCCTGCGTCGCCGGCATCGGAGCTCCAAGCGAAGAACGACTTGGCGTCGGATTCGCCGGCGCCTTTCGGCGGGGAGAAGAAGAGCGATCATGAGGACCAACTCTATGAGCCTATACGGATCCGTTCCACGAGTAGCTAAAAATTGCTGACTAGCTAGGTGCATGGTGTTCGTGCAAGCACAACAAATAGTTGCACCATGTTGCACATGCGAAACCCCAGAGTTGCTTTGCTTGCAGAGGTACTCTGAGCTCTGGGCGTCGCAGATCCCCAAGTAGTGGAGGGTAACAACACGGCGATGTCCCAGACACCCCTCCATGGGACTGCCGGACTGCCTGATCGAACGGTAACCGGGGTGGTGGTTGAAGAGGGGTCGGGGTGGCAGTCCTATGGCAGTCCCAGACGGGTCGTGTTTGGGCCTTTGTGTTTTGTTTTGTTTTTTCCGTTGTTTTGGTCTCAGAGCTCCGGCAAGGCCGCTCATCTCCCCACTGGAGCGCTTCTCGTGCCTTGCCTTGAATGAGAGGCACAGGGGAGCGGTGTCGCCGGAGAATCAGACAAAGAGTAGTTTTGGCACAGATGAGTATACAGTATACCGTATACCAGTATACTGCATATCCTGCAACAATGTAGTTGGAGATGTTTGGGTTCATTCAACACCAGATGGTTTGCAGATGTTGCACCTATGGTTGCCCCCCTTTGTTTATGGTCCACATTTGGTTGAAGACCTGCCATGCCTCATGTGTGTTGGGGTATACCAACGCGTGCGAGCCACGTCACGGCCCCTGAGGCCATGTCCCCTGGACGTCCAACCACACAGCCCCAAGCAGTGGGAGCCTCAGGTCGAGCTAGCGAGACCAGTCTTCGACGCAGTGGAGCGTTGGCTGCAGGTAGTATTGGAGGTTAAAAGACTGTCAAATGAAGCTGACTGTCAATTGGACAGACCAACAGATTGAACAGCGAATCAGCTGGAACTTGAGAGTTATCCTCCCTGAGCAGACCGAATATGAAACCTCAGTTGGACAAGTTGTCCAATTGATGTGTCCCATGTATACCCTTTAATGTTGATTTTTGTAATGACTGATCTCTGATGAGTTGTTGTGTGCAATCGTTCGTGTGGTCTAGAAGGAAGTGGATCCAATCGGCAACACTGCAAAGGACCCCTTCCCAAGTGGCAACCAATAGGGAGTCAAGGAGGAACTCAATCGCTGAAAAAGCGCATGGGTTGGCCTCGCAACACTGTTGTGATGTTGATTTGGCTATATTTGGCTCTCAGAATGGTGGTGTCGAAAAGTCAAAGGGTTGATGGTTGGGTTGCAAGAGGTGGTGTTTCCCCACTCATTTGGATGATTGATATGGCCCACCCACTGCCAAGTAACACATAATTACATGTTTGGATTTTTGTCCCAGTGCGTCATCGCGCAGGTCGTTGATTGCAATCCACGTATTTGATGATACATGATGATACACATTATGTAAGCTTTGTGGATTAGGACACAGGGTTCGCCGATGTGTCATCCAAGTTTGCCTCAGGACCCTGCCTGCTTTCAGAATGTGATGTTTTCCTCCGATTCAGCGACGTCAGCCATTCGTCCGTGGCGGTCGCTCAGCCAGGTCACACGCCCCACGGCAAGCCATCCCGGAGCTGCAACGTGCGCTGACGGAAACGGGTCCCAGCAAGGGCGCGGAAGAAATCATAGGTGTGACTCAGTGCAGCGGGAGAGCTGTTCAAAAATGAATTGCATGTTGGGAATTGATGAGAATATGTTGTTTGAGAAGTTCATGAGAATTGGCTCACGTTTCTTGGTCTGGAACTTGGAATATCATGGGCCTGGGTGATTTTCAACGACTTCCTTTCTTCACGTTCAACCTTTTAGCAGGGATGACGTATCCTGATGACAATTACATACGTACATACAATTACCATGGTTGGGTTCAGGTAGGTTGGAACTTGGAACCACCAACCTGTGCTGATTGTTTTTTGTCTTCTGCATTGCCCTTGGGAACAAGGTTTAACTCTTGTAAAGAGACTACAATGAAAGGGAATAGCAACCCTTTTGCATCCTCCACGTGGTGGATCATTTGTTTAATTCTGTTCTGTGACTTTCCTCAGCTCATTTGTTGGCCCGTTTGCTGTGTAAGATATCGGTTTCAGTGTTGGTTTGTGACAACACAAGGCTGTCTTCCAGTCCCCCCCGCACTCCTGGAGCCCACCGGCACGACAAGAAGGTGCCTGGAAGAACCTGGACCGACTCCGTCCCACCGACATCCGGAGCTCGACGTCAGGTCACAGGGACGATGGAACCCCGATCCCGATGACCTGGACGAGCACCATGGAACCCCCCGGTACAGTGGACCGAGGATGAATTGGAACTGAACATTCGACTCTGGGTCCATGTCTACACCCGGGTTTCGAGACCGAACCGACATGGACCAGACTGGAAGGTATACTATTCCTCTATATAGAGACGTGTGCGTTGTGTTCAGGTTTCGTTGTGAATTTTCGGGAGTGTCTTTGGTTTGCGGGTGCCCAGTCTGCCAGGTGTGATGACATTAGACGCGGCCGGGGGGTTCCAAGCAGAGCAGAGGGCGGAGGGCGGAAGGGCGGAGGGTGTTGGAAGGTCAGGTGATACACGGGCTGTTGGGGCGATGATCTGGAGTCGTTGGTGGAGGAGGTCGACAGATTCCAAGGATCAGCAGGGTAGAGGCTGAGTCTTAGACATCTTAGACTGCCCTTTCTTTCATCTTCCAAGACCTTGCAGTCTTGCAGACCTGGTTTTTTTGACGCCTGCCATAAGCTTTATATTTTTTGGTGTTTTTGTGTCCCAAGAACCAACTGAGTCAGAACTTCAAAAGGGTCGAACTTTCTATAAGAACCACTGAGACACGCAGAGTGTCGCTCAGTGGCCATCGCTTGGGGTGCGCATATCTCATCATATCTCCATCTCCTTGCGACAGAGGTTTGTGGTCGGCGGATGGGCCCTAGGCCCGAAAAGCAGGTACGGACCCCTAACCGAGCCCAACCAAGCCCAACCAAGCACACAACCACATTTCATACCATGTCGTGCTTCATTCAAGTTTAATAATACTTCTGGACCCGACTTGAGTAGAAAATGAGAGATGACCCTAAAAACAAGTATACTTGTATACGCACTTGTACCCATTTTCATCGATTTGTCCGTTGATTCAAGTTCATTCCAACGACCTGCCCCAGGTTCCACAGAAAAAGCGGAACCCGCCCCCTGGGCGCGACACGCGGAGCGCATTGCCCCAGGTTCCGAGTCTTCCGCGGCCCAAGACGGCTGCACAGGCGCCAAATGGGCGCTGCACGGACCTGGGATGTGTTTTTTATTGTTGAAGATGAAGATGAAGTGACTGGTGCAACCACGGGGGATGCAGAATTTAAAGGATCATTGATTCGTGTGGAATAATGTTGGAATCCAAAGCTGATCCACGAAATCTTGTAGGCATATTGAAAAATACAGGTGGTTAAGGGCGGTTGTGGTGGGTCAAAACTAAAGGAGCTACCAAGACTCCACTGGCAGATTTTCTCAGCATGTTGAAAGAAAAGGCAAGCATCTCCACCACCATAAATTGCCATAGTCAAACCCGACTGGTCGGCAGACAAATGGAAAAAATGCACCAGAACCGCAGAACGCCTTAGCGGTTGCTTATCTGCTGCCCTTCGGCACGCTGGTTTTGACGAGTTCCGTCCGTCCCTCTCAGGTGCCGAAGTCCGAGATCCGCAGTGTCAAGCAATGGCTGGGCGAGCTCAGCGTGGCGAGCGCGTGGCGAGCGCGCGCGGCGCGGCGGGGGGGTGGGCTGAGAGAGATTCAAGCTTAAGCACAGGCTCATCCAGTAGGATCTGTGTGTAGAATGTCCACACCCCATCAAAAGAGGAAGCCAAATGGCCACCCACCAAACAGTTTGTCTGGGCAGTTTCCCAGGCGGAGAGTGATCTTTGGGAAACACTGGGAGACGTGAAAAGTAGTAGCCAGGTAGACACTGTACTTGTGACCTCAGTCCAGGGCACCCGACGACTGGCAGTGGTGTCGTTTGTGGAACACTTCATCCCACTTGTAGTTCTCAACTCCATGCCAACATGTGGACCTGCTTTTGAACCATCCCATCTTGGTGAATCACCTATTTTGAGACTGCAATGCACGCTCGTGAGCTGGCAGATGTGATGTGTCGTTCTTTATTGTTCTGTGAAGCAGGTTGACCAAAAGCTTTGGCTGGCGGTACTGCTAGTTCATGCTATCTACATGTATCCCACACACACACACACACTCTGCAGGGATTGAAATGGACTGGCATATTGATATATCATAAGGTTGTTGAAAAGGGGTCAATGTCAATGTATAGGTATATTCCAGTCCGAGGGAGTGTTTGAATATTCCAGCCATGAATCACCTTTTTTCCGATGACCCTGACTGACAGCCCCCCCTACTACCCGAGGCTGCGCGTCGTCATGCCGAAGGTCAATGCTCAGGCTTTCTGAAAAAAAGAGCAGAAACACAGAGAGATCAGAGAAATCAGAGAGAGAGAGAGAGAGACATAAAGTGAGCAACGTCATAAACCTCTATGCCACGTCATGCAATCTGAACAGTTCCGCGTGAGGTTCCCGTTCCATCAAAGAGAGACTGCTAGAAGCCGCACCGCCAGGAGCGCGAAACGGATGAAGCCGAGGCGCCTGAGGTGCCAGCGCGAAACGTCCGTCCCGTCCGAAAGGGAGCGGAGAACCCAGTGGATCCCGAAATCGGAGCGGAGAGGCCCTTTCGCAGCCTTGGCAGAGTCTATCTCTGGATCGTGTCAACAAGTTGAGTAGATGACAGACTGGGGGGTCCGCAGACTGGGTGTCCGCACGAAGATGAGGATGTACTTTCATTTTGGTGTCACCTTCAGAATCCTTCAACCTTCACAGCTGAAAGCATCTGAAAGCCACGGTGTCTTTACATAGACCTGGCTCAGTTTAGCAGCTACTGTTTTCGACATGCTACACCTCAACCCCCAGAGCATCAATCAGACACCCATTGCCACCTCGCCGGTACCGCCAGGCATTGAGACCTGCCACGGCGAGACTGTTCGAAAACAGCGGCCGCAGTTCGATGGTCGGACTTGCGAGTTGCGATTCTTGAGGTTTGGAGAGACCAATGGGGTGCTGAGACCAAGAGGGAGGAGGGATGACCAGGCAGGCCAAATCTACCTGGACCTTCTTTTGATACAAAAAAACATGCTCAAGTGTTCAATTGATACACTTTTTGCTGGGTCGAGCGCTTTTTTGAGAGGGACTTCAATTCGAGCACATTTTTCTAAGACCTGGTGTTTTTGAGGAAATCTTCCTTTTGGTTCATCTTGGTCCCAATCAGGCATAATGAAGATCTTCTGTGATCTTTTGGTTTGTTGGAGTCTTTTGTTCCTGCATGCGTGCATGTTTTTGTAAAGTTGCAGCTGTTTTTTGGCTTTGAAGCTCTTGGATACCTGTCATGGAGATGCAAGGCATTTGGTTGATTGATGTTGATTGCAAACATGCACGCATAACAATTGCGCACTTCTTGCTTGTTGTGAAGGTGCTCAATGGCAAGCAGGCATCACTCAAGGGGTCTGGGACACTTTCTTTGGAAAGAGTCAGGCTGGGTTCATGAACATGGCATGATGTTGCATGGCATGGAGATGTGGAACCTTGCCTTAGCTTGCTTGCTGTGTGCCTGTTTGCATTGGCTTGATGTGCACTTCATGTCAATGAGCAAATATAGCTTGTCCAAGTCAGTTTCCTCAAGTAGGTCAGATGGTGTTCTCTGAGCAGGCAGCAATCTTGCTGAGGTTGGTATTGATTTGCTTGCTCGTCCTAAGTGTTCATGGACACTTCATAATAGAACAGCCAGATGCATCACTCCTGTACCAATACTGTCGGTGGCAATGGCTGCAGCACGGGGTTTGTTGGGAAGCTTGCCTTGTTTGGTGTTCATGTTCCGACATGCTTCTTTTGCATGGCATGCGTGTGCATGCATGGACCTGGTTACATGAGGTGTACAAAACTTCATTCTGGCTCATGCACTATGGGAGCCCGAGTCCCAAGAGGCTTCAAGTCCGATCAACATGGCCATGTATTCGACAGCTGGATTTGGGGAAACTTCCACGTTCAGAGCAGATCCGACTGACGACTGTCACTACTAGCCGTCTTAGACTCAGCCTATGCAAGCTTGCTTGTGGACTGCCCTCAGTGATTCTGCAGTGGCTTTAGGAAAAAAAGGGGAAAAACATGGAGTGGAACCAAAGATTTGCGGTCAACTCAGCAGCTTCCTTAGCATGCCTGGATTTGGCATGTTGCTTGTGTGCGATGGGCATGTTCCAGTGTAGGACCTACCCCCACAATTCGGTATGATGCACCCCTTGTGGAGAACCGGTCTTTGAGGCGGGTGTTTGAGTTAGTTAGAACAACTCTTGTGATTGCATGTGTTGCCAGGAGCAAACCGCCGGTTAGCAAAGATAGAACTGATCGGGAACTGATTGAATCCTTGGAGCTTCAAGACACCTGGAGTGATGCTAACCTATTAGCTGTTTTTGACTATCTCTACCAGAGTTCTGGCAAAATGATTCCAGATAGTTGGAGGGCTACCATGAGTGAGTTCCACATGGCCTTTCGCAGCACAGCGGCGCAGTAGTGGCCAGCGATAGTTTAGTGGATGAGTACAACGATTTAGTCAAACAGCATGCCTCACATCTCCGACGCTAACAAACTGGTCTGAATGGATCTTCGGAGGAATAATGCAAATCCGAGCGCAATTTTCCGCCATCCGAGCGCAATTTTCCACAAGCGAGCGCAATCTCAAAATCTGCTCGAATGATGTAAGATTTTGGGCTTGCACAGGCTTGTAAAGACTTGTGCTAGTGGGTTCAGGATGTGATATAGTTTGGATATGGCTGTTGTGGGGTGGTAGAAATTTGTGACTTGCATGTGTTGGACAGCTCGTTTGCTCAAGCTTGATCAAACACTTTTTGAACGACATACTGTCAGGATCTGTCCGGCCCAGGCCATGTCTAAGGAGTCGCTGGATGAGGGGCTAAAGCTTCTTTGGATGAACGCGTCAGCCTCTTGTGAACCTATGGATGCCCTCATCCAGGTGCCTGGTTGACATTCAAGCTGCATGCATGGTGCTTGGTCTTGGTTGTTTTGTCACTCATGCACACCATGTTCACGCACGCCATATTCATGATACCACGTGCGTGCATGAACATCCATGAAGTTGGCAGGAAAAGCTCGCCAAGATTGCCAAGTTGAAAGCTCAAGTGGCTGAGTCTGCATCTCCCGCTGTGCCAGGCTTGTGGTGTCATGACATGTCTGGCTTTGTTGCCCTTGACCCCATGCATGCATGCATACATGTTTTCTGCAGGAAAGCCTGTCTCTGAGCAAGCAGCAGTCTTGTCAATGTTGCATGGCATGGCATTGATGACTTTTTCCGCGCAGTTGATGTCAAGAAAGTCTGGATCCACAGAGACGCAGCCGTACAATGTGTAAGGGCATGCCAAAATGTCACAGTCTTTTGTTTGCATTTTGAGATGGTGCACGCAAGCAGTTGAAGAGTTTGTCTTGCTAGTGCTACTCGACCTGCTTGCTTTTGAGGAAGGGGTTGCGGCGCTCAATGGATGTGCTGTTCGCCTGAACTGGCACCTTTCAACATGAAGCCAAAGCTGCATATGCAGCAGGAGATCATGAGCCTTGACATTTGTTGTGTCAATTATGTACCGCCACCGACTGCCACCTCTAAAGGATATGTCCTGTGTGTTCTTTGGCTTACTGTCCAAGGATGTCGATGCCCTGGATGCAAAGGCAACTGGACCGTCCAAATGCACAGTGGATCCTGAATCCTAGCCGAATCTTGCATGCGTGTGGCATGTGCGTGTCACGGCTTGCGTGGTGCATGTTTGTCGTGTATAGGCTTTGGCTGCTGGGTTGACGAAGATTTCATAGGCTGAGACTCTCGGTTGCATGACATGTTGCACGCAAACTCATGAACACATGCATGTCACAGTGTGTTGCATCAAAGCTCATGGGCTCATGAACGTCACGCATGCACTGTTGAATTATCTGACGCAAGGTATGCCGAGTTACACGTAGATGTCATTGCTTCGGGATTGCTGTGAGAGCAACCTCTCGGTGCTTAAGTCACTATAGACGGCTCTGGGTGAAGAAGAACTGGTTGAAAAAGAGCGTGCAATGAAAAACATGAGTGATGCCGTGCTGTGGGGGTGGGACAGGCAAGGTGGTGTTATCGCTTCGAGCGCTTTTCTTTGGTAGACTTCAATTCGAGCAGAAAACCTAAGGTCGAGCAAAAAGCACTTTTTTCTGCTCAAATGAAGCTACAGGTAAGGATGATTTTCCGGGACCGGGATGATTGGGCAGTCCATCAATTTAACTCGCCCATTTTTTGGTCAACTCAACCCTGTTTTTTGGGATGAACGTTCCAACTGCTTGGCCTTCCCTTCACAGTTCGTCACAGTTCCTGCCGGTCCCGGTCGTCGTCACCCACGCAGGCCTTTGACCGAACAACTGCGGCGTTGGTGCACCAGATTGGCCCTGCGGGAAGAGGCGGGTGACGACCATTGGACGCATTTGGACAGCTTTGGGACCACTGGTGATAGGTGTTTTGAGGGGGGGTTGGGGAGGCAGAAGTGATGAGACATCATGAGACAGACTTTGTGTGTGTGTCTTATTCTGCAAACCCCTTTTCTTTTGGGATCTCTGGTTTGAGGCCGACCGTGTACTGAGCTGCTTGCGTGCTGAGCTGCTGAGCTGGATAGGAACAGATACAACATGAAGCATACCAGCACCTTCATTCCGGGGTTAGCTGGCTGGAATGCCCTACACTACTACTATCCGGAATCTCCAGACAGGACACCCCTATGTCCAGGTCCCAGAGTCCAGGTATGTCAAGTATTTGTATCTCTACACTCTCGGACAAGTACACTTCGAGTTCTTTTGCAAATGTCTCTATATAACACACTGCGAGTCCCTCGGCCCTTGTATTGAGGTTTGGTTGGAGTTCACCTTGGGCAGCCTACGTGCAGAGTGCTTGCTCTTGGCTGACACCATGCTGGTGGGGGGGGCCTCGGAAGGGCGAGACCTGGCCGATCGATCTACCAGCCGCGAACTGCGAAGTGGCAGATCGGGTGAATTGGATGTTCCCGAAACTGGGGGGAAATCCCTGACATGGGGAAATACTGTATAATGATTATAATAATGTAATATAATGTATCTTTACATATTATATTATAGAACTATTTAAATTATATATAGCACGTATTTTTTTCCGGGCTCCTTCAGCAAATGCAGGTCCTGCGTATACGTGACTCCCAGGTATTTGAATGCGTATACGTTGCATGGCACCACCCTGACGAGACGAGAGCAGCAAAGCACGGGAGCCTCGACACGCCCCATCCGTCGGCCAGACCATGCACGCGGGCTTCGTAGCGGTGGTCGACGCTTGGTCGCACCTGGTGTGACGAAGCGACTGGTCAGGCTGAGGGTTGCTGAGGGTTGCTGAGTCAGACAGGATTGTAGGTTAAGATGAAATCGCCACAACCCTCGAAATATCACAGTGAACATATATGTGATACTTTTTGTTGACAAAACTCAACAAAATTACCAATAGTCCAATCCTTCGGATGTACGAAGCTGACATCTGGTGAGTTCGGATGTACGAAGCTAGCTGCGTCCCTCGCACCCTCAGCCACTTGGCCTCATTGTCCGCCGCATTGGTCCTCGCCTTTGTCCCTCGCAATGGCCCCAAAGCGTGCTGCAGCCACGCAGGGCGGTCCTGCAGCAAAGGTGCCGAAGATGCCTCAGTTGAAGAGATTGACCTCTTCCAACAAGGCAAGGAGTGCAGGATCATGAGATATCATTAGGATGAGATTTACTGTAGCCTCCAGGGCTCTTGATGGTTAAAGTCACACATATTAGCGTGGTAACGACGCGTTTTTGATCAGACAAAGGGTCACTCGGGTTCTTGGTGTAAAGATGTGTAAAGACTCATGAACATATCAGTGATGCCGATGAATGAATCAAATCAGGCCGATAAGTAAGGCCC